TAGAGCTCTGTTCGCCTCATCCAGGTCACCTAGATGATAATGGAAAGTTGGTATGGTTTAACTCAGGTTTCAAGTTCTGTGGGAAAAATGATCTTGTTAATTTTGAGGCAGAAGTCAAGAAACAAGAACATTTTAAATTCTTAAAAGATGCTGAATCCATGCGAGAGTATTATGAAGGCGCTCTAATACTTAGAAACGCAATTATTCCTCCCTTCAAGGGGAAATCGGAAATAAGAGCAGGGAACAGTGTTGAAGAGCCAGTAGAAGGCTGGCACATGGAACGTGGATATTGTCACAGTTATTTATGGTGTGCATACTCTCACACCCAGAAACTGGGTGCACATTCAAGTATAGGAGGGCATTCTGCATAGTATGTGATTTTCATAAAGCAACTTCTATGGCCTATTGTTCCAATACGGATTAGCCTCCCTGCATTACTTATGTGCAGTCAAACTTAATTCTGAATATGCATATCTCTTCCTAGCTTCCGCATGGATTTTTACTAATCGCTCGGGTTTGCTACAATTCAAGAGATTTTCCAGTAAGAGCGTTGTTCTAGTTCGAACCCCTACTAGTTGTATTGTTCTTATCTTACACTACTTGAAACGCCTTTTGTGCCCTCAGTGTCTAAAGTGTTCTAGCTGAGTTAAAGATGGGTATATGAATTGGGCATTGTTGAGATTTATTGTCGAAGCTGAACAACAGGTTCTAATTCATTGGAAGAGGAACCAGCTAAAATTAACTTTTCTTTCTAGATAAGGCACCTCTTCCTCTGTATGCGGTGAAGCAGGAAAAGTGAGGATATATATATATATTCAGCCTGCATATGCCTAAGAACAATGCTATAATTGGAAAATATCTGGTATTGTTACAACTTCAGCGATCATTTGAGAATCCATGCTGAAGCAAATTGAATCTCGTACGAACGAAGGTTTTCACTCAATTATAAATCTATGATAAATTGTTTTGTACCAGATTTGCGACTAGATGTAACGCGATAGAGATAGCATAAAACTGCTCAGGCGTTTATTTTTTCAGGCTTTAAGTTGCAGATAGTTCGCATTAAACATTGAACTAATGTGGTAACAGGAAATTCTTTTTTTAGAAATTATTGATCGTGTACGATCCCAAATTATCATGCACATGAGATATTAATGTTTCTCTGAAAAAAAACCAAAAATTTTACGACGCGGTGAAAGGGGAGCATCGGGTATAAAATATCAGCTGGCAACTAATTGCAGACGCAGTTTCGCGCCTTAGATCTTGCATCGTCTAATAAGAAATCAGATTAATTGGGATGTGTGCGCTATCCATCTCTCACTCATAAGATCGTTACCACAAGGAGTTATACATAAAACGAGTCCTATTCTTGGAGAAGCAACGGAAAGGTTGTGTATCTGATTGTTCTTAATGTTTGGAAGATTTGCAACCTAACTAATTGCATTTTCTTGATACAGTACGGTTCTAGCATTATGTTTTTCCGTACCCCCTTTTGTTGCCCCTCAACAATTCTTGCTATTGTACTGCACATATCTCTTAACTCAGAATTCCCAGCAAGAATAGTTAGTTCCAACTGCCTGCACCCCTTATAAACAAATAGTTTCCCCGTTTTCAAGAGTTCAACGCTTTTTGCGAAGATATATATTGTTTTGTCTCACATTATGGAGAAAACGTTCAACCTTAGTCACAATAGGAAACCCGTGTTCTACGGATTCATCGCTATTTGGCTAATTTCAGCTGGTATCTGGGTCTATGTCTACACTCCGATTGATTTTAGTGAGTCGGAAACGTCTATTTACCATCTGGAACTTAGGGCTCCCAACGCAGACTTATCTAATCCTTTGAATGTCAAGAAAATTGATGTGTTTGAAGACTGTACCATTCAGAAATTGGTACGTACCTTGGGAATCGAAGACACTAGAAGTATTGATAGCCATTCGAGCGTCTATGACCAAATGTTGGAGAAGCGTGCATTATCAGACATTCTAACAAACCTCGATTTCACTGAGAGATGCAACTTGTACTTTAAGAACCTATTTGTGCGAGACCACAACTGGTTTGTGGATCCCAATGAAGACTTCCCTCTTGAACATCGTGATGCATTTGACTTACAGCTGTTTAAAAAAGAGACTTCTGAAAGAGTAAGGGAGAAATTTGCCCAGATGCTAAACTTGGAATACGACAAGATCAATTTCGACGACGAGAATGTCCGTAAAGAGGTAGATCGACTTACCGAAGAAGAGTTCAATGAGTTCTGGGAACGAACCATGAAGACAGAACAGAAGATTGTAGACTACTTATCCCATTTACGGATTTTCAACAAGTGCTATGTCACCAGTGATAATAGGTACATCATGAGCAAAGCCAATGAATTGATAGAAAAAGAAGCCAACAGCATAGATCACACTGAGTTCAAGGCCGACGATGATGAACTGTTAATCAACGATCTGGGTTCTAAATCCTGTAGTGAGTTGGAAAGCAGAATCTATAAATGGGTGTCTCATTCTTATCCTATTTATGAAAGGTGGACCGGCGAGATCTTCCTATCTCCTCCGGATCTCCGTAAATTCGTTCGTCATCCCGAAGTGTTCAAGACTACAAACTCCAAGTTCAAGGGTTTTACTGAACGCCCTTCCAAATCCGCATCCACGTTAAATGGGCCATGTTTCTTCAACAAATTCAAAAATCTGTTGAACGGGAAGGGAATTGTGCTATCGATCGGAGACAAACATGTAGACGATATTGTAAGACTCATTCGCCTATTAAGAGCATTGAACAACCACTATCCAATCCAAATCGTCTTCTATGACTCGCTCAGTGATGAGACCAAAGCAAGAATAGTCGCAGCTGCTAGAAATAAAATGGTAGACTTACCAGAGAGCTTTCACAAAGTTTCAAAGCATTTCCCGCCAGACTACCTCAACGTCCAAGACGGTGGATTACCAAAGCAAGAAGTATGGTTTGTCAATACCTACAACGCCATTCACGACCATTTCAAGGATAAGTTCAAACGGTTTGCTAATAAGTTCCTAGCAACTTTGTTCAATTCATTTGAGGAATTCATGTTAGTTGATGCTGATACAGTGTTGTTGCAAAGTCCATCGGAATTTTTCGACTTGGAAGA